TTAGGGGTGGAAAAACCCAAACTTAGTGTGATTTATTTCGGGATCTTAGAGTGATTTTTAGAAAAAATACAAACACTGAAAATTGTTGATATATGTGTCTACTATGTCTCTTTAAAATTTCCTGACTTTTAGAGATATATATATAGAGTTATGACTAAATTGGTATGGATCGTTCGAATGGAACATCTACTGAAAAAATATTTCATTCCGAAAGTTGTGTGATTTATTTTGAGATCATAGAGTCGTTTTTAGGTAGAACGCAAAGAATGAAAGTTGTTCATCTATGTGTATACTAGATGTATATAAAATTTCGTGATTTTTATATCTGTATGTAATGATTTATGACTGATTTAGTACGGGTAGTTGAATGGACCAGCTACTGGAAAAGTTTATTTAGTTCTGAAACTTGTGTGAATTATTTAAGGATTTTAGAATGATTTTTGGAGGAAACGTAAAGAATGAAAGTTGTTGACCTATATGTCTAATATCTCCCCTTAAAATTTCGTGAGTTTTAGGTATATGTTTAAGGAGTTATGGCTGGTTTGGTATAAGTTGTTTAGGTGTGCCACTGCTGAAAAAGTTTTAACCTAAAATAAATGGGCTTGGATTAATGTTAATGGGCTTGGACTTGAGTTAAAATGAGATGAGTTTGGAATTACAAATAAAGTGGACTGAGACTAAAATAAATAAACTTGGGCTTGGATTAAAATAAATGGACTTGGACTAATGTTAATGGGCTTGGAATTACAAATAAAGTGGGCTTAGACTAAAATAAATGGACTTGGGCTTGGATTAAAATAAATGGGCTTGGACTAATGTTAATGGGCTTGGACTTGAGTTAAAATGAGATGGGTTTGGAATTACAAATAAAGTGGACTTAGACTAAAATAAATGGACTTGGGCTTGGATTAAAATAAATGGGTTTGGACTAATGTTAATGGGCTTGGACTTGAGTTAAAATGAGATGGGTTTGGAATTACAAATAAAGTGGACTTAGACTAAAATAAATGGACTTGGACTAATGTTAATGGGCTTGGACTTGAGTTAAAATGAGATGGGTTTGGAATTACAAATAAAGTGGACTTAGACTAAAATAAATAGACTTGGGCTTGGATTAAAATAAATGGGCTTGGACTTGAGTTAAAATGAGATGTGTTTGGAATTACAAATAAAGTGGACTTAAACTAAAATAAATGGACTTGGGCTTGGATTAAAATAAATGGACTTGGACTAATGTTAATGGGCTTGGACTTGAGTTAAAATGAGATGGGCTTGGAATTACAAATAAAGTGGACTTAGACTAAAATAAATGGACTTGGGCTTGGATTTAAAAATAAAGCGGACTTAGATTAAAACAAATGGGCTTGGACTTGGATTAAAATAAATGGGCTTGGACTTGAGTTAAAATGAGATGGGCTTGGATTGAAAAATAAAATAGACTTAGATTAAAACAAATAGACTTGGGCTTGGATTAATGTTAATGGGCTTGGACTTAAATAAAATAAACTTGGTAATGGACTTGGACTAAAATCAAAAAGCTTGGTTTTAAAGTAGATGGGCTTAGACTAACGAAAATGGGCTTATGCTAAAATAAGTGAAATTAGATAGAAATAAAAAGAATTTTAAAATTTTTTTAAAAATTTATTCTTTCATAGAGGAAATTAAGAAAAAAAAAGAATTGGACCTTCTTTAATTATTAATGAAACTAATAAACAATATTAATAAGCGGAGGTTGTGTTCCCGCTATGAGTACCATGATTGGTATGTGAGCGCCGAGTGAATCCCGAGTGATGGTTGGATCATGAGTATGGCTTGAGAAAGAAGGGTCGGTACTCGAGTTTGGTTGAATGTGATTAAACATGTCATCACGTGCATCATTTGTATTGGGGGTGGAAATAAATTAAGAAAAATCATTGAGTCTTGAATTGACACGGTTTGGTAACCGAATTGAGTGGATTGGGTAATAGCAAGAAATTCATAGTGCGAGCTCTTTTTACTAACATCGTTAAGCGAGGGATAATTCCGTTAACCGTGTGCTACAACGAGGGATAATTCCATTACGAGCGAGTAGGTGATATTAAGATCACCGAGAGAAAGTAATAGAGCGAGTAGGTGATAACACGATCACCGAGAGATTGGGCGCACGGACTTGCATATACCTAGGGTACCGGGATTAAAATGGATGAAAATATGAGAAACACAATAGCATTGCATATCATGTGCATTATCCTACTTGCCGAGCTTTGGCTCATTCCGCTATTGTATTTGTGTGTTGTTCGAGCAAGGGCAAAGTTAAGCCGATCGATGATGCTACCGGTTCTCGTTAAAAGAGGCTCATGTGTCACTCATAAAAATAGGAATATCTTTTGTGTCAATAAAAAGGGATACGAGCCTAGGTTGTAAATTTTTAGGCATTTTGAATATGTTATAAATTATAGAACTATCCGTAATAATGTTGTAAATTATATTATATGTTTCCCATGGTTTAGTTTACGTTGTGTACGATGGAGGAAGTATGGGACTTAATCCCAACGAGTGTGTCGCGCCGGTCACGCCTGTTAGGTAATAGGTAAGAGAGCCGGGCGTCACGGATAATGGGTATGATATTCTTTTGGTGGGTAGGATAAAAAAATGAATTAATGGGTCAAGTATTCGTTCATTGCCATCCTTAATTGCAACCTAGCTTTCTCAATGATGCCTTTAAGCATGATCATCATACCATCCTTTTTGAAAGACAATTTCATGTCGATAAAATAAAAAAGAGTAAAAGAGTATATCCTCTGTCAATCCACACTCGGCACCATATCACAATCTTCTAATTTCAACACCATTAAGTATGCCTTAAACTCCTAACCCTAAATAAACCATATAAACCTTATATTGTGTGCTTAACACTTCATGATGTCTTTATTGGCCATTGTAGCGAAAGAATGGTATTTTTTAAGACACAACATTAATTTCTTTAACAATCTTAGAATCGATAAAGTTATATGTTCTACCCCTATCAATTAATATGGTAATTTTTTTGGTTGATGATTGCCCTTAATCTTGATAGTGTTATTAGTATATTTAATGTCTAACGGTGAGGATTGTGTTTTGGGGATAATTTTAGGTTTGTTATTATTGATAGGTTCATTTTTTATAGTTATAGTGTAAGTTTTGTGGTATTGATCCTCGTATGTATGATTAATTTTGTATAAAGGTGAGGTATTTGGTAGATTTTAAACCTTTTGGTCATGAAATTGATGGATTCTTCTTGCAATTTGACTTGGTCAAAAACTTGAATCAAAGTGGTAGGTTTAAGAATCTTAAGTATGGATTAAAAACTTCTTTAAGTTTATTAATAAAGTTGAAAACCAAATATAATTCATGGAAGTAGGGATTGGCTATAGTCATCAATGATGTCGGTTCTTCAAAGTTCTCAATATACTCATCTACCTCATTTTCTTGATTAAGTTTATTAAATTCTTCAATAATATCATCTCTATATTTCAAAATGCTTATAAATTTTTCCTTATAAATTCTTTCAATTAACTAGATCACTCCCTACCACAAATCCTTCAAATCATATTTCTATCTTTACCTCTAAATACATAGAGGCAATTTCCACTCATTAATGAATTGGTATAAAGTTCATCTTAAATAATTTCTTACACTTTCGAATCCAATAACACAAATTACCACCTTCAAACAACTATAAATCTACCTTAGGTATAGCAATATTATAACCAGATTTCAAGAATTCAAGAGCAAAAAAAGGTTCGACAAGATGAACTAGTTTTAGAACAAAATTCGTTTATTCTTAAGAAGATTTGGAATAAGATCGATTCTCTTTATCCGACTCCTTCTCCACTAGTATTGTCTTGGTCATCAACATTAAACTTTAAATTGAAGCTAAATTTGTTGTGCGTGATCTTATGAGTGCTCACTAATTGTCTCTATATTTTTTGAAACAAAATCCTTGAATATGTTCACCGTGCTTCCTAGTGTGTTCTTCTAGCGTCTTGATTTTATGATTATCCACTATTGTAGATGATGAATTTAACCCTTTCTAATACCAATCTGTTAAGAATCTATGTTAAACTCTTAACAACAGAGAGAGATTTACATAATAAAGTGAATAAAAAGAAGAAAAAGAAAAGAGAGATAGTATTAGTTGGAGAAAATCAATTTAGTTACTTATTATTACTTCGAAACACAATGATTTTTTTTTTTTGAATTTATACATTTGACGTGAGTAATTAATAAAATATAAAATTAACTATTCAACCAACTTGTCAAGTCATCTCAATTTAATTAAAAATCACAAGTGAAAAGTATGTGGTAACTAATATCCATGTGACATGCACATGCTTATTAATTGCTCAAATTCTACAAATTCAATAGTAGAGTATTTCTAATTTAATTACAAAATACTTATCATATCATATAATCGATTCTGTTGGTGTCTAGTGTGAAAGGAAAAATAAAAACAAAGATATCGACACGGCATGTACACCGTACTCGGTTATAGGTATAGTGTTTTATCGATAGGGTGACATACTCAAAATTATAAAAAAAAAATAAAAAAAAGGTGAAGGAGTATTTTTCTTCTTTTCAAAGTAGTACTTCAATTTTAAAAATTGTTCAAAAAAATATAGAAGGAAAAGTTTTTTTTTATATACATTTTTTTTTTCAGAAAAAAATAAAACGGCAAAAAACTTAAAATTGCAACCCGACGAAACAGCACCTAAGATAAGGATTAAAATTCCGTTAAAAGCTTGGGCATTTAAAATGACTTGGTTATTTAAGAAAAACATTAATCAAATATGAAAAAGCAAGATTTAGAAGGTGAAAAAGTTTGAGCCATCCGATCTGTCGAGTTTGCATCCCCAAGCACAGCATAAGGTTAAATTAATTAACTTATTACACGACAGAAGCAAAGGACCCACTGCCTCAATCTCCTGATAAACCCTCGTCAGGCGCGCGTCTCTTCTCTCTATAAACCCCAACGAAACAAAATGAGGAAGAGGCAGAAGAGAGCGGAAGCCGAAACTGAAGCAGAGAGAGTTGAAAACGACAAAGCAGAAAACGAGCTCGAGCTCACTAATGGCGATTCTCGCAAAAAGAAGAATAAGAAGAAGAAGAAAAATAAAGACAGAAATGAGAGTGATAAAGAAATAATCGAAGCAAAGGAAATACCTACGGTCAGCATAGCCGTTTCTGGTTCCATCATCAATAATGCTCAATCTCTCGAACTCGCCACTCGAGTACTTCACTCTCTCTATTTAGCATTTCTATTGTTATTATTATTGTTGTTGTTGTTGTTGTTATTATTATTGTCTTTGATTTCCTGTTTTCGTTTTTCAGTTGGCTGGTCAAATTGCTCGTGCTGCGACCATATTTCGAATCGATGAGGTTTCTATCTTGGTTTTCACTGACTTAACTGTTCTTTAATGATAAAATTAGGCCATATTAGAGTTTAATTTTTTGGGAGATAATGCTTATGCTGCAAAAATGCTTTATCATTATCGATTCTTTGTTGAGAAATTAAGTAGTGGTTATTGTCTAAACAGGTGGTGGTGTTTGATAATAAGAGTGGTTATGAGAAAGAGGATCCTACGGTCACTGCATACAATAATTCGGATGAGAATGAGAGTGGTTCGGCTTTTTTCGTAAGGATCTTGCGGTATTTAGAGACTCCCCAGTATTTAAGAAAAGCTCTTTTTCCAAAGCACAATAACTTAAGATTCGTGGTGAGTGAGGGGCTAATTCATTACTGAATTCTGTTTGTTTCGTGTGTCAAGTGTTTTTCCTTTGTTGGTTGCTCAACTAATGTTGTTTGTACTATTGTTCTTGTGTTTTCAAGGGAATGTTGCCCCCGCTTGATGCTCCACACCATCTGCGCAAACATGAGTGGGCTCCATTTAGGGAAGGTGAGCTTTCCCATTTTCCTCCTATTATTTTCAAGGATATCCAGTTGATACTTCTTTCCCCTTCGTTTTGTATTTGAATAGCGTTTTGATCTCCGGTGATCTTTTTTTTCCCCAGAACTAGTAACTTTATCTCTGCACTGTTTATATGCTTATTCTGTTTAGAACCAACTTTTGATGTGTCTTACAATAACACTGTAGGTGTCACGCTGAATGAAAAAGTTCCAAACTCTGGGGAAACACTAGTTGATGTGGGTTTAAGTAAGGTAATGGCTCTATTGAAGTTTCGGCAGGCTAATCTGTGGCTTTCACTGCTTTTTACTCCTTTTGGTTTGAACAAAATAATTGTGAGGGCCAACAATTAATGCATGCTATCAGTTGTCTATCATTCACATAGTCAGAGTTGTGTAATTTCTTGGTGACAGTCTTCTTTCTATTATATTCAAGTTACTTTGTGATCTTGATAAGAAAGTTTGTGATCACAATCAAGCACAAGTTTAGATGATCCACCACTCTTTGAAACTCTGCTTCGATTTAATTTGAAAATGGAACTCAATTTCGCAAAGAGGATGTAAATACTACAAGGTCAATTCTTCATCACTACATATCTTGACTGCAATTTCTATGAACTATGTGATTAACGAGAATCTACATTATAGATCCTCCTTTCCTATTTACCTTCTTATGTTTCTGAGTGTGCTTTTTCCATTTTCTTCATTTAGATTTTGTTTTTTAGTGCTAGTTTATGTTGTGTCATGTCAAAGCTCAAGTTTATCTGAAAGCATAATTCCTTCTCTTTCTTTCTTTTTGATGCCTTGCTCAATTCATTTTAGTTTCTACGGTTAATTGATTATCTTAGTTCATACTCATTTTAATGCTTTCCCTTTCAAGTCTAAGCATGCAAATGGTCTCCAGTAAGTTTTATGTCTTACAGATTTGAGCTAAATCATGCAGAATGTTGCCATAAATCAAGTGCTTGAACCTGGAATAAGAGTAACTGTGGCTATGGGAACCAACCGCAATTTGGAGGCTGGTAAATGAATTTCTGTCTTCTTTTCCCCTTGCTATAAAGTTTTGAACCTTGGCTGAGTTGTTTCCCGTCATTGTTTGGGGATGTTTGGGTAGACAAGAGTAGAAAATTTATTTCTGATTTGTAATTCATTGAACTGATGTTTTGAGCATCAAAGATAAAATTAATTGAAGTAGATACGCTGTCCTTTTCTTTATTTCTATATTAAAGCCCCTTTCACTCAGAAACCTATCTTCTTTTTTCTGTTTCTTGTTTTTTGGTCCTTATATTGGTTCCATGTTTTATCATTAGCCTATATTAGCACTACTTTGCTGTTAATGTTAACTTTGGTACAATTGTGGATTTTTTATTGCATTCATCTAGATTCACCACGCCAGGTTGTCTCATTATCGAAGCCAAGGGAGGAAGCAGGAATGTATTGGGGGTATAGAGTGCGATATGCTTCTAATATCAACTCAGTATTTAAGGATTGTCCATACAAGGTATTGATACTTAGTGTTTTTTTTTTCCTTTTTTTTTTTTTAGTTTTTCTGTGTTCCTTTGATATCATTGCACAATAGTTTTATGCCTACCATAAATTGAAGGCTTTTATCAATTTCTATAATTTCAATCACAGGGTGGCTATGATCATTTGATTGGTACCTCAGAGCATGGTCTCATTATTAGCTCATCGGAGCTTTCTTTACCAACATTCAGGTATGCTCTTTTTCTACATTAGATCCTTGGTGTAACTTTCTCTGGTTAATTGCTTCTTAGTGACTAGAGGGAATGTCTGTTTTCTGTGCAGTTTGTTTAACTTGTTGCTTTTGGAAAGCCTTTACCTTTCCCTTCTAATACGACGATAAAAATGCACCCATATAAATTAGAAAATGTGCCAACATGCTACCATTGCTGCCTAGGGGATTTACCGTTATCAGACAGGGTAAACTGAACAGAAAAGAAGAGATATGATTCTCAATTAATTTTTTTCTTCTTGTAGGATGATTGGGCTTTTTTACTGCTGATGCATTGACATGTTTAATGGTCAGCACTCAGAATTGTATGACGGCTTTGTTTTTAGTGCTTAAGACAGCAGGCTGATTTGTGATTTTTGTAATCCATAGCTGCTTAGTTAGATTTTCAGATAACTGAGCATGCCTTTGGAGGCAATCATTAAGTACTGATGGGCACACAAGCACGTGTCCTGTTGAGAAGTTTTTTCAAGGCAATTAAGCTGTCATTTTATTTTTTCTTTTTTGGAGATTTATTTATACATTAAAAGAAGGCTAATTGGTTGTAAGGTATCCTGAATTATCGATCAAGAGAAAACAAGGTTGCTAACCTTTTTTTTTTTTTCTTGATTTAGGTCCCCAATCTTTTTTTTTTTTGCTCTGCAATTAAGTTTTTCCATCATGTTGACCAATTTCAGGAGACATGAGACACATGTGGAGCCATTAAAACAATAACACATGTCCTAAAAGCCCTAAATATAGGACACGTGTTGTTATTTTATGGCTTCATGTGCTTCCAATGTGGCTTGAGATTGGTCAAGGGGACGAAAAGACTTCATTGTAGGCAAAAAAAAAAAAGAAAAAAGTTGGGAACCCAAATCAAAAGCTTAGGGATTTTTCTCCTGTTGACCTATAGTTTAGGGTACTTTATAACCAATTAGCTTTAAAAGAATTTGAAAATGCACAAGCTACACAGGTGCATATGAGGGTTGCGTAAACATAAAAAGGTCAGTTCCTCTTTTGGTTCCAAGAAGTTCTTGAAATTCTACCGTTTTAAGTGTTGGAGCAGCCACTTCATTAGTGTTGTGATATCGGATGTTGACTGTGTATTCCTCTATCTTAACCTTGAGTCACCATAAGGCACTTAACTTTTTAATAAAACGAGGATTCACTTTAAGATGCCACCAAATTTTTCAGTTTGGCTAGTTATAGGCATGCAGTGCCTTGGGAGGATTGTGATCTCCCTTTGACACATTCTTTTTGGTTCTGCCATATGCTGTTATAGATAACACCTATGCATTTGATTCAAATGTACCATTGATAATTTGGTTGTATGTTCCATTTGTTAGGCATCTGTTGGTTGCTTTTGGCGGGCTTGCTGGATTGGAAGAGGGTATTGAAGAAGACAGTAACTTAAAAGTATCGTTTCATTTGAACATCTGCTGTCATTAGCTAATGATTTTGTTCCCCCCCCCCCCCCCCCCCCTTTTTTTTTTTTTGGGGGGGGGGGGGGAGGTGCTCTTTTGTTTGGGGAGTTAGTTGATTTTCTTTCAGGAACAAGTTATTTCACCTCTCCTTCCTTGGTATATGGCTTCCTGGTATATGGTTTTCAAGGCATAAAATTTTATTTGGGAAAAAAAACACCTCACTTCTTCTCACACATTCATGCTCCTTATACTTGATTCAAATTTGTTTAAAGGCATGTGCTTAAAAGCTGGTCGTTGCTAACCAATCTTTGATTCAACATTTTTGTGTAAGAATTATGTATTGAATACTGGTTTTGGTGTTTCTTCTTCTTTAGGGTAAAGATGTTCGTGAGGTATTTCATTCATACTTGAACACATGCCCCCAGCAAGGAAGTCGGACTATTCGAACTGAGGTGCTACTCTTTGATTTCCCTCACATCTACGTCCACCAATATAGCTATCTATTAACTGGAACCTCTGATCTAATTACATATGTATCGTTTTAACAGGAAGCAATTTTCATATCGCTTCAGTATTTTCAAGAACCAATCAACCGAGCACTGCAAAGAGTTCAACATTAAAAGTTACCAGAAGTCAGCCAGGTATAATGGCGATTCTGCTCTTGATGCTTTGAGTCTCCTAAAAACAATTTTTGAGATTCTGGAATTGGTTTCTTGGAAAGTGGAAGATTCAAGGATTTTCATGTTCGTTGCTTAGTCTAGTTTAAGTTGCTTGGATGCAAAATTTGTAATTTCTTTCTGGTATCTTACCTGAAAAATTTTGGTGATGAATTGTTCAATCCATTAGTGCCAATATTTTTAATTTCGACCAGCAAAATGTATTACAACTGATTTATTACATGCTATGCTTTAATGAGATTTCTCTCAAGCATTGTTATTGTGCTTTGGCTATTGTTGACTACTACATGCCGATTGGCCTGCGTCGTCAGCTGGCAATTCTACCAACAACCTGAATTGCGACTGGCTAGTTTTACTTGGATCGTGCTTCTCATTTTCAATTTGTAGATAGTTACATTTTGGCCTGCTTCTATATATCAAGTTTTTTATTTTTTATTTTTTAAAAAAACTCTCTGTTGTCTTTTTCTTTTTTCTTTCTAATTATTCTAGAGATTTATCTTAATTGATTTTTTATTTATTGTTAATTAAGTAAGAAAAATGACTTGGATGAGTAAGGTCTAATGTGACCCAAAAAAAAAAAAAAAATTTGGTAAATAATCTGAAAGGATCTTACTTTAATTAAAAAAAAAAAAAAAAGGGCTAAATGATCCAAACTTCTATTGAACTTAATTTTTTATTGAACCTTTTTTTTAAAAAAAAATAGCATTAGAAAGTGGATAATTTTGTTAGGTTTCTATCAATTTTAATGGTATAAATATATGTAACTTGTACATTGTTAACAAAATAACTTTCCTATCTACGAAAAATTTATGAGTATTTTATTTTTTCTTCTAAAACTTGTTCCTTTTATAATTCTAAATATTATTTAACTACTAACTTCTTAGCATTTACGATGAAAAAGTAAAATATCTATAAGTTTTTGAATGTTTTTAGCGGTTAGAGAACTACAATTGTGCATTAGAATTGATATTAATGATCTAGCTACAATTGCATATTAAAAATATCAAAACAAATAAAATGATTTATTTAACTAAAAATAATTAGAGTGAGATTTAATAAATTAAATGATTGATTCTCAAATAGTTTAAATTATTAAAATTAAGAAAGATCGGTATCAATTGGCTTTAAAATATTAAAAATTGTTATGAAATAATGAATGTCTATTATCATTTCATATTCTCACTACTCATTATTCTTAATGTGATTCAATTCATCATTCAATATGAGAAATTAAAAAAATGATGTAATTCATGTATTTTTTAATATTTCATTGTCCTTTTCAATTTTTTTCTTAATCCTAAAGCCTATAAATAGACTTGATTGTTTATTAGTTGATATACAAGCATTTTATAGAAATTAAAATAATTATTTAGAGTTGTTATCTTTTCTATTCTATTTATTTTATAAGAAAATCATTTCTTCATCGTTTCTTTGTCATTTTCCTCAATTCTATTATTATTATGTTTTCATGTATAACAAAAATACTTATTTCAACCCTAACAATGTTGCAACCCCGTCTCCTTGTAGCTAAAACAGCTAATGCCGCCTCTTGACTTCGTGCCAAAATAAATAAGCGAGGAACAGGCCAAAACCTATACAAGGTTAAAAGAAAAAAGGATTAAAAAGTTATCTTCAATCATGGCGGTAGCAGAGAGCTTCCTCGTTAATTATATCATGGCAGACAAACTCAATACTGCCTCTACAATCTCTTATTCGATTTAGGTTTGTGTCAAAGGCATGGCTTAATCACTAACTCAAGCTTCTCTTACATTACCTCCTCAATATCCAACTCAACTGTGACCATCTTAATAAAGATTGCAAGCACAGGCAGAGAAGTGTCATTCTTCACATTTACAAGGATCAAAGTTAATATACTATTGTTGGTAGATATCGAGAAGATTCTTTTGAAGTAGCTGTAGAGATCGATTTCCCTCTGCTTAAACAAAAGTTATTCAGGTTTAGGATCAGAAGTAGCTGATGTAACGGGATGTTTGCTTGCCCATTGATTAAGATGCTCGTATTCTTCTGTTCAATCCATCCATTAGAGAGTACAGGGTGTTCCCATTCTCCTATGTATCCAGCTGGTATATGTGGGCTTGGATTTGATTCTACTATAGATGATTATATAGCCCTAAGTGTAGCTGGTAAACAAGTCCATGCCTTCAGTTAAAAGAAAATCATGGAGAAATCTTGAAGATTTCCTTTATTTTCTTTTTTCTGAATGGATGTCTTTATTGGGCTTGCAGCGGTAGGACGCCTAAAGCTGCGACGACGCAAATTTTGTGCTTTGATGTGTCTGAAGAGACAATTTAGGGAGGTCTCAACTCCTCCTTATTAGGTCAGCAGTCTAATGACTTAAGGATTCAGCTAATTGATCAAAGGAAGATCCCTGTGTGTACCATGTGTACGAACAATCATTGTGGATCATGGAAGAGGAGAATGAAAAATCTGGTGCTGGGGTTAGAGAAACATGGACCAGATTACTGAAATTGCAGGGCAGTAGCATTCTGATATTCCATTGACGGAGCTACGAAATAGAAACCGGTTGTGTCCTAAATGCTTTGCAACGACCGATAATCTTTTGGCTTCTGTGAATAGCAACAAGTTTGTACTATATGACCCAAAAGAGCAGAGTTATCATGATATACGAATAAGTGGTCTTGGTCTTGGTCTTGGTCTTGGATATGGCTCCTACAATGGAGCAATTGCCTATACTTAATTTCACCTGGCAGTATACGTGGGATGAATGATACAGGCTGATTAAGAAGCTTATCAGCTTTCTAAACTATTGTTTTAATTTGACTTTGTATTTGATTTTGATGTTTTGTTATAAACGAATTTAACTCACTGTAGAATATTATATTATTTAGATATCTTAGTTCATTTAAAACTAGTATAATATTAATGAGGAATCTTCTATTATTGACGGTTTTTTTCCTACTTAGTTTATTAATTACATTAGGGTTTGTGGTACTACAAAGCAGCAGCATTTTTATATGTACTATAATTTTTGATAGCGAGATGGTACAAGTATTTTGGTTTAATTTGACCTTTGTGGTCTAAATCATCATTTCTACTTTTTTTTCTTTGAGGTGTTGTTGGATATACAAAATTGAAAGCAATCATAAGTTAGGAAAGCGAGATTCTAGACTTTTTTTTTCTTTTTTTCAAAAATCTTGTTTTATTTAAGATTTTTTTTATTATACGAACTGTGGATTATGATAGGGTTATATCTCTCGCTACTATAGTTATTCGTTGTTAGGGTTTTTAATTAGAAGTTAACGAGAAGTGTCGATGTTGCATTCAATTACAATAATCGGTAATTAGTGTAACCAAGTGGGTGAGCATACATTAATGTTAGTTCCATAATTAGTTAGTAACAAATATATAGCGAAGAAAAACGTGAGAATGATTTATCCGAGAAAGAAAAGAAATCAAATTGGAATTTTCTTCTCGATCTCCTCATTCTTCCTCTTCAAAATTTTCTTTGTTAAGGAAAAACCCTTAACTAATTGGTATCAAAGATGTTCCAAGATCGGCGAAACTTCAATCATGGTGGATAACAATCGAATTCGAGCACTTGGAAGATCATACAAAAAGGCAAAAGGAGCAAATACAAACCTTGCAATAAGAATTTTAGGAGAACATGGAAGATATGAACAAATGCATGGAAGAACGGACTCGACAAACACGAACTTCACTTTGAAGCTCTAATGAAGTCAATCCGATCGCTAATGGCGGAGAAGTAACTCGAAAAAGAACCAAGGTCGGCTTCTTCTTCCTCACATGGAGTAAATCAAGCTCCAAAATCGGTATATCTTTGTAACACATGGTGAGCCTCTTTTGTCCCTTGAGTTTTTGAAATCTATCTATAATTCATCAATTCTCAAGGTTGAGTTACAATTATTCGAAGGAAAAATCCATGAGGTTGGATAAGAAAGTGGAGAAAATTTTTTAAGATGAACTTCATACATTTTCATTAATGAATGGAAATAGCTTTGATGTATTTGAAGGGGTGTACGGAGATTTGGTTTGAAGGTTTTGTGATAAGAAGTGATTTGAGTAATTGGAAGGAGTTTGTGAGAGAGCTCGCGGGAGGCTTGGGAGTAAGGAAGATGTAATAGAGGAGTTCAATAAGCTTATATAGGAGAAGGAAGTTGATGAATATGTAAACAGATTTGAGAAATTAAAATCCTTGATGACCGTGAACAACCCATACCTACTTAGAATCACACTTTATCTCTTAATTTATTAGTGGCCTTAAAGAAGACATTAAACCAATGTTAAAGATCATGCGACTGTCACATTGACACAAGATTTTAACTAGGCAATATGGTAGAAAGAAACTACTAATGCTATGTTCAAAAATGTCGGACAATCACCAAGAATTTTTCCTACATACAATACCCTTAAACCATACATCAATCATGTAAACCAACCTTACAAACCTTATGTCCCTACCAAACCTTATATGACTACCGAAATGAACCTATCAAACACTTTAAACCTATAAATTCCAACATACCAAAAGCATAGTCTAAGCTCGAAACTTTGTTTGATCAAAGGCGAAAAATGGGTCTATGTTATAGGTATGGGAATAAGTATATCTTTGGCCAATAATGTGTCAAGAAGACCTTGAATATGATAAAGGGTAATAAATGAGAGGTCCAGGGAGTTTATAGATATGGAAGATGAAAATGAATTGGATGTTGAATTTGAGGGAAAAACCTTGCAGAATATGGTTTATCATTTCATGATTTGGCACCTAAGTATACTAATAATGCTATCAAGATTAAGGGAAGTTGTTTGCAAAAGGAAATTATTATTCTTATTTATAGTGGTAACATACACGACTTCATTGATCACAAGATTGTACAAGAGACAAAAGCTATGATTGAGCATACTTGCTCCTCTCTTAGTGATAATTGTTAATGGGTATATAATGAAGTGCCAAACTAGGAGTCTAGAGCTAGTTTGGTTTATACAAGGGTACGAATTCAAGGTTGATGTGAGGATTTTAGAATTAGAAAGTTATGATATGGTGTTAAAGGTTGATTGGTTTAGGATGTACTCTTATATGTTATTCGATTTTGTAGACTCGAAACTACCATTTAAGAAGGGTGGCGGAAGAATTGGGTTAAAAGGTACCTTAAAAAAAGCCAAACTTCAACAAATGATAGTAGCTAAAATCCATAAAACTCCGAGTACAATAATTTATAGACGAGTGGGACAATTTCTCTCTATAACGACTTATATTAACCTAGAGAAAATGTCTAATAAGGAGGTAAGAGCCTTACCACTCAAATATGAGGGAGTCTTTACTATGTCAAAAACTTTGCCTTACGTGAGGAGATTTTATCACAAAATACCATTGGTACCAACTATCAAGCCGGTGAATATTCAACCTTATAGGAGTTCATATGTACACAATGAAGAGATTACAAAAAGATGAAAGAGATGTTGCAAAATAAAGTTATAAAACATTGTTGCAATCTATTTGCATTTTTAGTCTTGTTGATCGAAGATATACGAGATTTGGAGGTTTTGTGTCGATTATCGATAGCTCAATAGTGTTATTATCACGAATAAGTTCCCTATACCTTTTTTTATGATCTCCTAGATGAATTACAAGGCTCCTACTTCCTCGAATAGAGTGATGCCTTTTAGGTTAACTAATGCCCCAATAACCTTCCAAGCTATAACGAATTCAATTTTGAAACCTTATTTGAGGAAATTTGTTATGGTATTTTTTATGACATCCTAGTCTATAACCCTACATTAGAGTCACATGCATAACATTTTATGAGAGTGTTGGATTTTTTTACGCAAAACAGTATCGTATGCTTAGGAGGTCTAAATATTCATTCTACTAGACCAACCTTTACCTATCGAAAAAGAGACAAGTACTTCGATAAACGATTGTATGCTCTCATAGCTATTTTTGTCTAACCTGCACCCATAATGATGCAATCATACTTGTTCAATCGTGACCAATCAATAACAAAACATTTATTCTCCTAATGGGTATAATAGATTGTTGATAATAAAAGAATGAATAGTTCTACCCTTCTTTTTATATAACTTGATGAGTTTTTTTTAGCTATATAGACAACTAAGAGACCCGAGGTTAAGGGTCCTAAATCTTCACTTGATACCATTATTCGTCTTCTTCCTCATTTTGACATTATGACCTTATAGGGATAATACTCTCTCTTTTTACAACGACTTGATCGTCTAAAGGTCTTCTATCTAATGAAAGAGAATTGTTTTCTAGCTATCTCATCTATTGGGACCACCACCCTAACAATAACGCGTGAATGAGCCACATCGTCCTTAGAGATTAATCAACCTCTTTAATAATTAACAAAATCATGAATTAGCATACATAATAACAACCTAAAATTCTCGACATATAAAGTACAATAAGAATGGAAGAGTAAAAGATAACTATAATAATTGACTTATAGTATAATTTTTGTGTAATTAACATATGTTATCATGTTGTCTAGTAATAATAAGAGAGAGAAAGAGAGAGAGAGAGAGAGCTAGTGATCATTGAATAGTCAAAACAAAGTTTTTTATTTTTTTCACAAACACATGTATATTTGTCAATTTGTTAATATCTTTTGAAGTAGGAGTTATTCAATACTTATGGAGCATTGTTTCCCCATTAATATAAAAGTAGCACCCATCGTGATAACTATCACCTAATCCTATTATTATATAGTGAGAGATTAAAAAAAAATACCAATTCTAAAGTACCTATTAATCTTTCATAAATGAGTTGTTGACATGGCAACACTTACCTGCTAAAGTCCGTCGGCTCAACAATTGAGATGACATTCACAACCATGCAACATTCATATCACAACACTATAAATAGTATCAACAACTCATACTTATATTTTTAATAAATGGTTTTGTCTTCTTTTTTTTTTTTTTTTAATTACAAAAGAGATGTTTGAATTCAAGATCTTTTTTCTTTAAGACAATAGTGTCAATTGAGAGTTTAATGACACTAAAGATCTATATGATATCGATGTTTGAAAAGTTAAGACACCTATGTGGCTTTAGTTTAGGCAATTACATCATATGATTTGATCGGACGAGTAAGAGTTCCTCTATCAACGATCAAGTTATTTTTTTATAATTTTGATTTTTAGATGGAAAGAGTGACACTTGTTAGATTTATATTAGTTTCAATTTCATGAAAAAATAAAAGCTAATTAAAAATAAAAAAAAGAATTGTTTTATAGCATGATTTTTTTGAATTTTTTATTCACATTAGAAAAAAAGTTTTTCTTTCATGTAAGAAGTAAAAAATATTAATTTTTCTTTTTTGTTAACTTTTTATTGTTTTCTTTATACACAATCTGATTAGCAAATATTGTAGTGATCATTTGGGTTTTGAAAAATCAAAAGATGGTCTAATAATATTTAATTAAGAATAAAATTATCGACTTATAGATGAAACATACTTGATGGTGGTAAATGCCTAATTTTTCCATAGGGTTGAGTTTTCAATTTAGTTTTTCATGAAAGTTTTAATTTTATGCGTTCGAACTTTTCTAATTTTTACATAAAATTTATTTATTGTCTTCAACTTTTGAATATAAAATAAAAACACATAAAAAAAACTAGCATGAATAATAAAAAAATCTACAAAATAATAAAAATCCATTATAAATATATTAAAAACTAATCTTTTTTTATTTAAAAAATAAATCAAAAGAAAATTCCAATGTAAATAAAAAAATTAATTTTTTTTCTAGTAGTAAATAAATTAAAATAAATAATTAATTTTAATCAAAATTTTTTTAATTGAAACTTCTAGAATTTTGACACGTGTCACTCCTTCTCTTTAAAAAATCAAAATTAATAAAAATTGGCTTGATCATGGTTCATGGATGGAGAGACCCCTACTATCTAACGGATAAAATCAAAAGAACTCAATTATCCAAATTGAAACTATAGGTATACTTTTGTCAAAAAAGAATACCATAAAACCTCTAATGTCATTAAACCGTTAATTGAGTTACAAGGTATCTTTTAAATTCATATATTTCTTCTAACTCATACTCTCTTAGTTTTATATAAATACTTGTACTTTTTTTAATATAATTTATTTGGAAAATAAAAAATTCTTAATTAGAGAGTACGGGATTGAGGAAATCGGACCAAGCAAATACTCTTAGTTAGCTATATAATTAAATTATAAATCAGTTTTCTAGTTTCAAGAAATAAAATAGTTAAATTTTATTATTTTTAAAAATAATTATTTATTTTCTATTTTTTTCTTGTAACTTAATCATTTTTTTTATCATTTTCAATTTATTTTATTTTTTATTTTAAAAATAGAAAAAAGTAGAAAATATATGAAAAAAGGTGAAATTTTATAAAATAAAGATAATATTAGATTAAATGTAGTCAAGACTGGTTCATAGATTAAATAATTTGTTTTTAAAACAAAAAGGAATAATTAATTCATTTCTAAAACATAGAGGGACTAATTTATAATTTACTCGATTATAAATAGGTCAACAAGGGCATTTTTGTAATGTGATAAAAATAGAGGCGTGTTTGGTGAAAACTGCATAAAGAAGGGAAATACTAGTAGTAACCCAAACCGTAACTCGCCCTCATATTCTCTCCCAAAAAAGAAAAAAAACAAAAAAATAAGAGCGAGAGAACGTCGAAGACAGAAAGGAAGAGTGAGCGAACAAAAGCGTGTGTTTGTGTCCCTTCTTAAACACAGGCACAGCAGCGATAATTCAAAAACAAAAACCGTTTAAAATAAAAACTAAGGGACCGTTGAAATCGTTCCCGCCAATCGCGATGGTCGCTCAGCTTGAGCACCACCATCACCAAGACGCTCCAGCCGCCTCATCCTCCTCGCTAGAAGACCATGTTCAGAAGACAAAGTCTCTGATCTCTGCCCTCAATTTTGTCTCTCGTAACCTCCCTCTTCCTCCTGATCTCTACAACACCGTCTCTTCAATATATTCAGATGATGGTGGGGCCCAAGAGAGAAGCCTATTGGTATGTGTTCTTGAGATGCCTTTTTGGTTTTGGGGGTTTTGGGTTAATTTTTTGAATTTGGGTGTTTGTGGGGTAATTGGGATACCCTTTTGGGAATTTGTGTCAAAAGTTTGGAAATTTGGGGTTTTTGAAGGGGAATTTTAGAGTTTGGGTTTAGGATTTTGTGGTTTACAAGGAAAATTTCGAGATTAGGGTTGGTTGGGGATTTTGGGTTCTCGTAAATTTTGTGTTTTTTTCTCTGCGAGTGTGAAATGTTATCTTTGTTTTGCGTGGTGCACGTGTTAAAATATTATGGATTTTTGAACTAATATTGTATTCCTTTGAACCCCAAGATTGTGATTGTGTTATGCAGCGAAGAGGATTGTCAGGCTTAGGTTTCTTCGTGGTTGATGGTTAGGATTTGTTTTTGTCATTGTTAATCTTTGGACTAGATATGTATGTTTAGCGTCTTGCAATGGACTATCAGAATTGACAGTATTTATTAAACATATGCACGTTTATTGTTGAAAAGTTCGGTGGCTTCCCTTTTCTCTTCTATAATAGTCTCATTGGTGTGTTACCTTGTTTAAAGAATACGATGTGGACGAGTTTTGGTTTTCTTTGTTTCCGCTTCTGATTTGCTGATGAGCTTTGTATTGTAGAGTTTATTAATCTTTTACTTTGAGAAACAAGACATCAATTTCTGATCTGACCAAACTGTACAATGTCTCTTTCCAATGGAGATTTGCGTGTTAATTGCTCTAGCTATTTGATGTTGATATTGCAATTGAAGTCTTTAATTTATGTGTTAATTTGTCATTTCTGATCTAGCTTTTGGAATGTGAATTTAACTTAACACAGCAGGGCAATCCTGGGATTTCAATCAGAAGTGATTTGATGACTGAATTTGAGGATGCACTATCAAAGCAAAGGCCAAATTGCATGTCAGGTTTTGATCTGGCAGAATTGAGGGAGAATCGATATCAAAGCCATATTCTGCATCGATTAAATGAACTTGAAGGTTGCTATCTCTGTACATAATCTTTAACTTCCAGGATTCCTGTTATTTGTCTTGCTCATAAAATGCTTCATGAGGGAATTTTAATTCAGTTTGTTGCTTGTCATCGTGATTTAGCATATTGTTGGTGCTTGTTTAAGATACTTATCCTCAGAGCTTGGCCGCTATGCCTGCTGATACTGGGGCTTATGGTTTTTTTTTTTTTTTTTTTTAATAATAGTGACAGTGTCCTTTCCCTATTTGTTGATTTGTCCTTATAGATAATCCCTGGAAAAGATTTATTGATGAGTTTTTATGTTTTTGGATCAGAACTGCCTTCAACCAGAGGTGAAGACCTGCAGATGAAGTGTTTACTTGAACTTCATGGACTAAACGTATGTTTGATTTGCTAAAATTTTCTGTGGAAATTTTTGTTGAGTTCGTGTTTGCTTTTGTATTTATACTTGATAGAGTAGAAGTTGCAATCTGAATTGGAGATAAGCAACATTTGGTTGTTCTAATACTGAGATTGATGCTTCTCCAAGAAACCTGTCTTCTTGGGTGTTGAAACAAATGAATATCCAGAAATAGAATAAATCTGCTTTTATCCTTCAGAAATAGGAAAAGCTTAACTGCTAACCTTTTGGGATTGATTTTCTCAAGGATTTTGGAAACCTGTGAAGGAGAGCTAGATTAAGCCAAATTAGATTTATGGTAGTTGACTGGTTTCATTTTAGTATCTTACAGTTTTTGCTAGACATGTTGCTAAAGGGGGTTTTCTATTCATGGTGATAGATGGGTCTGTTCGTTTTTTTATTTGTAAATTGAGGGATGATGCTTGTTTTGTCCTTGTGGGCAATGACTTTTTTTTTAAAATCTTTTTTTTCCCTTGCAGCTAGCAGAATTGCAAAGCAAAGTTCGATCTGAAGTGACTTCCGAGTACTGGCTTCGTTTGAATTGTATGTTTCCTGACAAGCAACTTTTTGATTGGGGTATGATGCGGTTGCCTCGTCCTCTGTACGGTATAGGGGATGCTTTTGCCATGGAAGCTGATGATCAATTCCGAAAGAAACGAGATGCTGAGGTTATTTCTTATAATGTTCATTTTCTTTCTCTTTGTGAAACTTATCCTATTTTCAAATGGGGGAATTTTGGAATCTAGGCATTTTTATATAACACCTGTTAGAATATCCCACTGTCTGATTAGCTAAGGTGAAATCTGAACTGCTATACTGGTACTATGTATAATCTTAGCTGTCAGGTCATTGGAATATGATCTCAACTAAAATAACGGTCATCTCTCTAAATATAGTTTTTTTTTTCTCCCTTCCTGAAGACAGCATAGTAAGTTGAGACGAAAATTTGTGAGCTTTGAAATATAAGATTTACAATGCAGCTGATAAACTAGGAAATAAAACTTGTTTGTTTTCAAATATATTGTTTTCTGTTGTATGCTCTGATGATTTTATGAAAATCTTCAATTCAGAGGCTGTCAAGGTTAGAAGAGGAAGAAAGGAACCATGTGGATACTAGAAAAAGAAAATTTTTTGCAGAAATACTTAATGCGGTCCGAGAGTTCCAATTGCAAATTCAGGCTACTCTTAAAAGGAGGAAGCAAAGGAATGATGGAGTCCAGGTATTTATTGTCTCTCTATCCTGCCACTTACTTCATTCATGCTTGTATGAATCTGAGTTGTGGGACACTTCACGTGGATGAGGATTTCTGAACTTTTTTTACATGGAATTTATATGATTAACACAAGTGATAGTCAAGGAGCTATTAAATGAATCAGAAGAACCTATAGTTGGTGAGGGAGAGGGGATTCCAAAGGAAAAGGAAAAGACAAGTTTAGATGGAAAGCTTCAAAGCACTCTTATGTTACAGTAATATGAAATTAAGTCCTGTTTGCCATTAGAATATTGGTGTATAGCTAAAATGAGTTCAGTGATGGATCTGTGTCTTGTGACTAATTACGGAATGTTAGAAAGAAACTAGTTTATGAAACTCTTTCAATATTTATCTTCTGTAAATCCAGAAGATGAGATCTGTTGGTCATTAATTAGGTTGACTGATTATTTCTTTTCTTAGTATAGCATATGGTAAATGAATACACATTATGTTATTTTATTTTGACAGGCTTGGCATGGAAGGCAAAGGCAGCGTGCGACTCGGGCGGAGAAACTGAGGCTCCAAGCCCTGAAGGCTGACGATCAAGAAGCTTACATGAGATTAGTAAAGGAGAGTAAGAATGAACGACTTACAATGCTTCTTGAAGAAACTAATAAACTACTTGTTAACTTGGGAGCTGCAGTCCAGCGCCAAAAAGATGCAAAACATTCTGATGGCATTGAGCCTTTGAAAGACTCAGAAGCTAATTCGCCTGAGTTGGATACTTTAAGGAATGAAAGTCCACTGGATGCATATCCTGAGGAAGATGACATTATTGATACTGAGCTTAATGATGATAGTGGTGATTTGCTTGAAGGCCAGCGACAATATGACTCAGCCATTCATTCAATCCAGGAGAAGGTAAATAGTAAATCTTTATTCTCTGCATCATTTCATCTCTAGGTTTTCCTATGCAAATCTTGTATTTGATTTCCATGGTTTAAATTTCAATCATTTTGTGTTTCTCTTCAATGAGTAAGCTAGTTGGCGTGGTGTTTAGATTGTCATATACTTGTGGGAATGACTAGATGAGAGTTAATCAGTCTTCCCAAGTGAATGCTGAAGGATTAAACTGTTTATTAGCCGGTCCCTTATATTGGTTCCTCTAAGCTTGGGTGTGTTGGCAACCAGTCTTAGCTTTTGAGTCTAAGCACATGGAATGGGTTCTTATAAGTGGCTGGTCTCGTGCAAAAGAATTTGTCCTGATAAACTTTTTCAAGGTCTTGCTTAAGCGATTTTGGTCTTGAGCCCGCCCCCATTTATTTGAGATAGATAGACAGTTAAAGTTTTGTTGCATGGTTTGCTTCATTTTGTTATTTCTTTTGGTTTATACATAACATGGTCAATTTATGAAAGCAGAGTCAATCAGCTGATTTCAGCATCAAAGGCTAACTGTTGTCCAGTTGAAGGGCCTGCAAATTGTGCAGGTCCTATGCTTTTACGTGGGACAGGTTATGGGAATTTGCTCTCCTGCTTTTTGTTATGGGTTATGGTTGGTGCACTGGGTATTTAGGAGTTATAATTTGATGTGGCAGTGCAAATTGTTTTGTCGGTTGCAGAAATGATGTCTGGTAAGGTTGATTGGAAGAGATTGATGAAGGATTTCTTCGACAGCAGCTAAATAATGAGTTTTGGGGTTTATTTTAAGAGATTAATTAATGTATGAAGAGTTGGAAAAATATATGAAGTTATGGAGGTTGCTTGTGTGCTGTGAACGTTGGTAAGTGAAACTACAGAATTTTTGAGAGAGAGGAGGAAGAAACAACAAACCTTACAAAACAATATAAGTGAGAGGAATGATACCACACTAGACAAGTTCGCCTCTAGTTGCAAACTAAAACACTTTGGGAGTGTTTACTTGTGGAAAGTTTTTCAACTTTCCAAAAAACAGAAAACACTGCTACAAAAGGTGCTGATTAGTTAGAGGTGGAACTTTTCTTTGAAAACTAGATTTTCTAATCTTCCAATTTTCTGGAAAACTGAAAAGCAAAAAATGTTTGCTCAAATGAAAAACTGCTCTTTTCAACCTTTTTTTTTTTTTTTTTGTTCACTGGGAGATCCATCATTCCTTGGAATATACAATGGGAGTTAACCCTGTCCCCTTTAACAATCTGTCCTGTCCCTGCCACAAGCAGAATTTGAACCATGTGGTTCAGTAGTCAGTACCACTCCAACCTGGTAGTTACACCCACTGGCTCTTTTAATATAGACATTCCTATTATTTTCTAATTTCTGCAGATAAATACGTTCTCTCTTATTTTTCATGGAGAATAGAAGATATGAAGATGAAAAATGTGATTTTTTTTTCTATCAATAAACTTGGTGTTAGTATTCCATTATTGTCGGTATTATGTTATTAGACTCTTGTCTTTCTAGAATTTTGAATTTTGAATCTTAAAATTTTAACAAAGCTCCTGGTAAAAATAAATAAATAAATAAAACACGAAGTTCCTATAAGATTGTAGACTTAACTAAGCTGCCTCTTACACCTGTTTTGTTTGAAACAGAAAAAACCATGTTTCTGGCTGCCCATCATCATAGAATAAGACTCCAAATTAGAAAATACTTGAACCCAAAACTGGAAAGGATTTATCATGAGACCATGTACAGTACCACCTTTGTTGAACTCTTTCTGGGCTTTATAGAAAGAAAAGTCCTTTAACTGCCAAAATATAATACAAGTCCAAAATAGACAGTTATCTTCCCATTATAGAATCATCCCCTATATGACATGTATTGAGCTATGATCCTTTGTGCTGTTTGTCTCATGGAAATCTTTGAAGTTGCAGAATAGTGATTGCAAATTCCATGCAACTTTGTTGTTCATACTACTGTTAATCAGAGAATCTTACTGATTGTACACTGTAATGCAGGTAATTGAGCAGCCATCCATACTTAAAGGTGGCCAATTAAGACCATACCAGTTAGAAGGGCTTCAATGGATGCTGTCTTTATTCAACAACAATTTGAATGGGATTTTAGCTGACGAGATGGGGTTGGGCAAAACAATACAAACAATTTCTTTGATAGCATATCTCAAGGAGAAAAAGGGTGTGTGTGGGCCACACTTGATAGTTGCTCCAAAGGCAGTGCTACCAAATTGGATCAATGAATTCTCAACATGGATTGAGGAGCATGAGTATGCAAAAAGATTGAATTACTGTGTTTCTTTCTCAGGCTGCATGTGTGTGAATGCATGCTCATGTAGCATTTGCTTCAAAATTCCTCATGTATTTTTTCTTCTTCATCCAGGATTAAAGCTTTTCTTTATGATGGACGTTTAGAAGAGAGAAAGGCAATAAGGGAACAGTTATCAAAAGAGGGGAACTTGCAGGTGTTGATCACGCATTATGATCTAATCATGAGAGATAAAGCATTTTTGAAAAAAATTCACTGGCTGTACATGATTGTTGATGAAGGGCATCGATTAAAGAATCACGAGTGTGCTCTGGCAAAGACCATTGGAGGGTATGATGCTACGTGTACTAGCCTGCCTCATTTTATATTTTGAAATTTATGTTTGGTCTTTGCATTGCTTTGCTGAATCTCTTTCTATGTTATTCTACATGCATCAATTCTTTGCATGGTTGCATGCATTTGTTCATGTCATTGTAAAATCTTAGTGCAGATGATGGTTGGTCAGGCTTGGATCTTTTTTGGGTAGAAAATTGTTTTTGGATTCAAATAAGTAGTTTCCAGAGAAAGGGTGGGAGGTATTCAGTTAATTGTTGCCTGTTGACTGCATGAGTATACTGGATTTGTCCCATTGATGCCTGGATCGGCATGCAGCATGAGGATACTTATTTAGATTTTAATTTTTTCTATTGCTACCCTGAGAAGTTCTTTCTCATGAAAACAATTGGAAGTTATTGTTTTAGCATCCTTTTCACTTAATAAGATTCAAATTATGATTATCTGGGTGCTAGCATGATACTTTGCAATGTGTTCTGAGGTGGTTACTCTTTTCTGTTGAAAAGTTGTACAGATTTCTTATTTTCTTAGTTTTCTTGGAATCCAATAACACTTTTGGACATGATTTCACAAGACATGGTGAATGCTTTTCTAATTGAATTTTAATTTGCATGCAGCTATCAGATTAAGCGCAGACTTTTATTGACCGGGACTCCGATACAAAACAGCTTGCAGGAACTCTGGTCCTTGCTTAATTTTCTCCTGCCACATATTTTTAATTCTGAGGATAAATTTGAAGAATGGTTTAATGCTCCCTTTGCTGATCGGTGTGAAGTTTCTCTTACCGATGAAGAACAGCTATTGATCATTCGTCGTTTGCATAATGTAGGTGTCTTTGAAATTTCAAATTCTTCTGCATTCTTCTTGGACCTTTATCCTGATTCATTTCCATGATTTTCAGGTTATAAGGCCATTCATATTGAGGAGGAAAAAAGATGAGGTGGAGAAATACCTTCCTGGGAAATTGCAGGTTCTACTAAAATGTGATTTGTCAGCATGGCAGAAAGTATATTACCAGCAAGTTACAGAGATGGGCAGAGTTGGGCTGCATACTGGTCTGTCGCTTCTGCTCGTACATCCAATGTTTCTTCACGTTTCCTGTGTTTTTAAGTGTCTTTGTTTGTGGGCACAATTTTGAATTTTGGTCATTTTCTGCTTTTGATTGATTGTCATTTCCTGGGAAATAAGTTTTCTGCTTTGGGGAGCAAAAGCTGCTATTCTTTTTGGTCTCTCCTATCTTTTTCCTTTCCTTTTTTTTTTTTTTTTTTTACTCTCTCCAAAGCATCAGTACTCATCAGAAATGCTAATTAGCTACCACTGAATTTTTCTGTTAAATAGCCTGACCACTTGTGTATTTGTTTTCATAAATCATCTTCCACTTTCTATAGAAAACTCTGATAGTCATGTTTTTACCCATATATATCTGCCTGCTATACTTTCTCATTTTCCTCTTGTTTGATTTAGCTCAACTAAACTTAATGTTTTTTTTTTCCCACTCATGTATGACCTCACTATTGAGTGCCTTAGTGTTATTCATCAATCTTGTGAAAATTCTCACTAGAAGTGCAAAAACTTGGAACTTAATAAGCCCTTTGAAAGCACATCTTTTATTTAGCATCTAAAAGTTGAATGATGAGAAAACATCAATTTACAGGATCTGGAAAATCTAAGAGTCTACAGAATCTGACGATGCAGCTGAGGAAGTGTTGCAACCACCCATACCTTTTTGTTGGAGACTACAATATGTGGAGGAAGGACGAAATAATGAGAGCATCAGGGAAGTTTGAACTACTTGACCGCTTACTCCCAAAACTTCGTGCAACTGATCATAGAGTCCTGCTTTTCTCTCAAATGACTCGTCTTATGGACATTCTTGAAATTTATTTGCAACTTCATGATTACAAGTATCTTAGACTTGATGGCTCAACAAAAACTGAGGAAAGAGGAACGTTACTAAAGAAATTTAATGCTCCAGACTCGCCTTACTTCATGTTCCTTTTGAGCACTCGTGCTGGTGGTCTTGGTTTGAATTTGCAAACAGCAGATACTGTAATAATTTTTGATAGTGATTGGAACCCTCAAATGGACCAGCAGGCAGAGGATCGTGCACATCGTATTGGACAAAAGAAGGAAGTCAGAGTTTTTGTTTTGGTTAGTGTTGGATCGGTTGAAGAGGTAATCTTGGAGCGTGCAAAACAGAAGAAGGGCATTGATGCCAAGGTCATCCAGGCTGGACTTTTTAATACAACGTCCACAGGTATATTCTAGTTGAATTCCATGCACTTAGCTAGAAAGTACCATCTAGTAAAGAAGGCAATGTTTCTTTTGTTTGCTATTGCTCCAACCAGGGGCATTTATTCTCTTAGTTACTGCTGCAGTCTGCAGGATAATTTTCATAATTTTTGCTCTGCCAACTGTGGGTCATATATGGTTTAGTATTTTAATGTTAATTTTTATAGATAGGCCATCCTTGATTCAATACAAAAAAGTTGTAGCATCAAACATGGGCACACGCATGAAAACCACTGATAATAGAGTAAATAATAGGTCTGCAGTGAGCGCACTGGTCTGGACGTCTCTTGGACTTGCTGCAACTACTGAATAAGATAAAGCTTCAAGTCTGTATGTTGGCTGACTTGTTTCTTTATTCTCTAGCTGTTTTACAGTCATGATTTCAGATATTGAAAAACTGTATCATAAGAACCTGTGTTTTACTCGTCTTTCCATCTCAACATTGTTAAGTTCTCAAGTGTTTATGGAATTAGTCACTTGCATCTTTTGCTTTTCTCGTAAATCCGATGCTTGGAATCATAATGAGTTGAGTCGATCTCTGCCAGGCTTTTTTCGCTTCTTTTGGATGAATTGAACAATGCGTTAATGTCATATGTCTTTGCTTGTGCAGCTCAGGACAGAAGAGAGATGTTAGAGGACATTATGCGTAGAGGAACTAGCTCACTCGGAACAGACGTCCCAAGTGAGAGAGAGATCAACCGCCTTGCAGCCCGTTCTCAAGAAGAGTTCCGAATTTTTGAGGAAATGGACAAGGAGAGAAGAAAGGAAGAGGATTACAGATCTCGTCTCATGGAAGAGCATGAGGTGCCTGAATGGGCATATCAAGCACCTGATAACAAGGAAGATAAGGCCAAAGGTTTTGAGCAGAATAGTACTGGTGTCTTGGGAAAGCGGAGAAGAAAGGAGGTAATATACGGTGACACATTAAGTGATCTACAATGGATGAGGGCTGTTGAAAATGGACAAGACATATCCAAATTGTCTAGTAAAGGAAAGAAACGAGAACATACTCGGTCTGAAGCGAATGATTCTGCCAGCAATAGTGCAGGAACAGAGAAAAAGGTTATGGAAATGAAGAATGAAAACATGTCAGTGGCAAGTGAGGGCACAAGTGAAGATACCTTTGCTTCAGTCCCAAAAAGGCCCAAGTCTGACGAGGCAGTCACGGAAAAACCAGATTATCAGGTTTCGGAAAAATCTGAACAAGGTGTTGAAGCTAGCGGTTGGAACAAGCATATATTTACATGGAATACCTATAAGAAGAAGAGATCCAGTTATGTCATTCCAAGTTCATCATTGGACACCAGAGGGCAGAATTCCAACGGAAAAGGAAATGGTTGGGCTTGATTTAATTGATCAAAATGTTGACACTTTATTGATGGGATGATCCAGAAGCATCCCTGAACCTTCGCTTTTTTGGTTGCTGCTACATTGCGCCAGGTTTTTTTTTGGGGCTGTCACTGTGTCCTTTATGAAATTGCCTCCTTTTAAATGGGTTGCTTCCAATACTTGCTCCCATGCCTACTCCATCTCCATTTGTAACATCAGCAGCCAATTACAATATTTTCCCTATTTATGGATTTTACCTCCTATTATCATAACATTTCGACGGCATATAAGAGGTGATGGCATAAAGATCGGATGGTGAACCCAGATGTCTGCATGGTTATCACCACTCCTATATTCATTGGCACTTGTACACTTGTAAGTTGTAACATTTGGCAATATTGTGATATTCCTTAATTTATGAAGTGCACTTTAATTTTTATTATTTATGGCTTTCAAAATTACTTTTCATGTGGAATAAGGCATTTGGCCAGGAACGCCTCTGTAGTTCAAGGGAGGTAATAAATTTTTATGAACAAAGAAAGCATTGTTAATAAAACCAAGAATGACGGGTTGTGGGATACTTAACATGATAAATAATTCAATCAACAGCTGATCTTCTTACGAGCATTCTAGTTTTTCTATTGAGACGGCACCAGAATGAGATCATCCAGCCAAAATGCTACAACTAAAAAGCTAGTCGAATGTAATTCCGAAAACCTCTGATCAATAGCGAATGAAATGACAAAAGATGAGGGAAAAAAATGCATGTTTGCTTTCAAAATCTCAGTGCTTTTTATTTTTAATGATCAAACCTCAGGAGGCTTTAGCATGCACATGTGCTCAGAAAACTAATTGGCAAGAGCTAGGAAACCAGAGCAACTCAGCTACCTTATAAAATAGATATAGCATGTATGAAATGATAGACAACAGCAGCTCCAACTGCGGAGAACAGACATTGGAATTCTGGGCATTATTTAGTAATCCACTATAGGGTGCCATCACATTTTAATCGAATAAACTTTGGAAGGCCCAGACATGCAAAATGTGATAAAAGGATGATGATACCGAAACATGGAAAGACCTCACTAAACCTAAAAGCTAAAGACAACAATTATGCTTTGATTCAGAGCAAAGCTCATAGCCACTTTCCTGGTCATGCTTGCTACGATTCAAGAGAACAGTCAATCCAAAATGCGTCACTGTCCTACATCAATGTGTACCAAAGATTACTACTGACAAACAGAATCTTCTAAAGAAAAATACTCCAACATAGCACAATTTTAATCCTCTTTGTTAACTTCAAGATTCTCCAGTTTCGATTCCAACTCATGCTCATCACATTCGCCCTCTCCAGACTCTTCTTCATCACCACCTCCACTAGGATCATTCTCATCAAAGGATCCAAGCCTACTAGGGAATTTCTCAAACATTTTCTTTACCTCATCAATGCCTTCATCTGAAATAAAATTCCCATCGATGTTCAGAAATTTAAACTCAGGCTTCTGAACCACTACCCTAGCCAAGACTCGAGCACCAGCCCTTCCTATAGAATTGGTGCTCATATCAACTTCCTTCAACTGGAGATGGCCTTCTTCCATGACCTTACTGATCTTGATAGTACCTTCATCCTTGAATTCATTTTCAGCCAAGTTCAACTTGGTAAGATGCTGCTTCTCTGCTATACAAGCAGCTACAATCGGAGCAGCTTCAGCAGTTATGTCATTTCCAGCCATATCCAGGACTTCCAGCGAGGGAGCTGATTCCTTGAGAGCACTAGCTATAGCCACGGCACCTTCATCTTCCAAATTAAGATAGCTCAAATAAACTTCTGTCAAACCAGCATATTTGGAAAGAGCCTTACTCAGAGAAACTCCTGCTTCTACGCCAAACATGTTGTCTCGCAAGTCAAGCTTCTTCAAATGGGTGCAAGTCTCAAGTGCTTCTGATAAGGCAACTCCTCCTTCAGAACCTACCCTTGTGGAGGAACATCGAAAATCTTCCAGTAAGGGGGAACGCTTCAAAACCTTAGAGATGGCAAGTGCTCCTTTGTCTCCAGTCATATTGTTATGAAATTGAAGAACCGTAAGCTTCTCTGTGGAAGGAATTAGTTCACAAACTGCTTCTGCAGCTTCCTCAGAGATGCCATTGTTTATCAAGTAAAGCTCCTCTAAGCAGCTTTGAGACCTAAGGAGTGCCCCAAAAGCCCTAACACCCTTCTCACCCAAGGCATTATTCGAAAGGTTCAAGGACTTAAGAATGCTACCTTCCAGAGCAGTGGAGAATATATTCATAACTTCAAGTGCTTCTGCCTCTGGTCTTCCAGCAATAAAATCTGACAAATCAACTTCCTTCAAATGATCCTTGATGGAGGCCAGAATGGGTTCAGCAACATGGGCTGCTTCTAGACCAAAGCTTCTATTGCTAAAGCATATTTTAGTGTAAAAATTTCCTGGCTCCTTTAATGGCTTAAGTATTTCCTCAGCCTCCGTCGCCTCAATAAAGGATCGCGTGCCTTTAGATATATCAAACACAGTGTCATGGGGTGCACTAACTTCCTTGGATGCCAAAACTTCTTTGTCATCCTTACTAGAAGGGCCTCTTTTCAGTACTTCCAAAATTAGCTTACTACATTCCTTGGCATAAAGCTGTACTGCAGAGCTTCCATCACCATCCGGCTCCTTTTCGTATTGTTCATTTGCAGTAGCAAAAGCAACATCTTCGATTCTTTTTGCATTCTCCTCAGCCTCCTCTTTGCTCAGACTGCCATACTTCTGGGTGAAAATCGACTTAGTAGTGAGATTGTCAGTAACGCGTACCACAAGCATTTGCCTTGTGTTTTGACTAGGGGGCCACAGTTTTATTGAAAATGGCCGGCGCTGTGACTTTGATTCAGTGGCATCCATTGCAGAGGAACCTGCACATAAGGACTGCAGCATCAGCATTTACCTACATGCTGAATTATTCTAAATAATGAACAAGAGCATATTCACAAAATTAAGGTTAGAAAATACTCAAGCTTTAAGAAGAAGTAAAGAAATTAAAAAAAAAAAAACAAAAACGAAATATTAGATGGACAAAAAGCTTATAGAGGTAGTAAGAAAGAACAAACCCAAGATAATAATGACTATGAAACCAGGTTTTGTATCCAAGAAAGTATATCTAAAGGTTAATATATTCTCAACAAGAATCATCAAAGTGAAGAAGAAGTTGTAAGCATCGAATATCTACCAAAATGCTAAGGCTAATTCGATCTGAAAACCAACCAAAAATTCATTTAATCATAAACATAGGGGGAGTCAAGCGAAACGTATCTTAAAAAAAAGGATTCCTACCTATACCATCAATATATAGTTCAAGGAAAATAATTGTATTTGATGTCCTTCCTCCAGCATTCCTACTTTATCATATCTTAAAAAAAAAGCTATTTCCCTCTACACAAAAGAAATACTAGACAGCTTAAAATACCATAATCTCTTCTCTAGCCATTTTCATTTTTTTATAGCCCTCCCTTTTCTAGCTATATTAATCATTTATACACCATCGCAATTTTCTATCTCGCATACAAAACACTGTTCACTCATTATTAACATTTCGGGTCCAGAAATTGCTACTGCATAATAGTATAGCAAAGAAAAAAATTAAGAAAGCGATACACAAGCGATTAAAACTAACGAATGTATAGTATGATAACAAGTAAGAACAAACAAGCCTAAGATCTAATGCTAAGACGATAACACCAAAAAAAAAAAAACGAAAAAGCGTTTTTTTTTTACTAAATCAAGAAAAGAAGCAGAAAAGCAACAGATCTAGTAATATGATAGCACATTTTCACATGTTTTTATCAATCTACAGAAAAAGGAAAACAAAACAATTAGGAGTCGGAAGAAACCCTATAAATGGAAGATTTAAACAAACGATAAGATAAGAGTGGAAAAAAAAAAAAAGAGGTAAAGTACTTTTCTCCTTCTCTCTCTTTCTGTGCGACTATGTTTGGCTTTGATAGTGCCTTAACTGTGTATTATTATTACTATCAAGAAGATAATGGTAAAAGACCAGAAACAGCCAAGTACTCTATGGATCTTTATGTATGGCGAGTGAGACTGTGAGAGAGAGAGAGAGTGTTCGAGGAGGGAAATGAGGATTTCGAGTGACAGTGAAAGAGAAGGAAGGGCTTCCTTCCTAAAATACTATACTAGGTTTTTTCAGGATTTCTTTTCACTTTTTGGACATACATACATACATACATGTGTTATTATTGGATTGTCTCTCTCGTCTTCTATACGCTAAGCTGCTGTTCGGCGTTATTTTTATTTGGGCCTAACTTTGATCTATACTTGGGCTCACAGGTTGACTTGATTCTATTATTTTACATTTACAAGCCTGCTATAATGATTGGCTTATGATGCTCGGCTTCATTTTGTTTTGCTAGCATTCAGAACCAAATTTGTAAATCCTTATGTAATACTCGTACGTCATGCATATCATGCATGAATCATCGAAATTAGATGATGGCAACTGCAATTTCTTTGGACAATTTTCTTCGAGTTTAATTTTTATTTTTTATTTTTTTTCTGAGTCACACCAGGAGGTGAATTTGCAAGTGTCAAATTATTGTTCAACATACCCATGTGCTTCCAGTACAACTGATTTAATAGGCAAAACGACTCCCTCTTCTCTCACAAACGATGATATGACAATGACAGCATATAAAAAGGCAACTGCGTATAGAAACACTTGGCTTGCTGTCCTCAAAACCTAATGACCACCCTCCAGTATCAGGCCAATAGCCAGTTTGCTGGGACAACTTTGTATGTAGTCCAGTGGGCCAATATCCCTAGTGAATATGGGTTCTTCACACTGCTAACATCAATGGGAGTAGACCAAAGTAGTTTCTACGGGCCATTGGATAGTCTCAAGTGCGGTTTTGAAAATGCCAAAAACATCAATTTGATATATATATATATATATATATATATATATTACCCAGATTGATCTAACTCGTGTCTTCAACGTGGAAGTCAACAGGAGCATTGTGTCTCGTACTGATCCTTCAAGTGATCAGAGGAGCATGCCCGCCGTCGATCTAATGGGGCTTGGAGCAGCGAATTTCACCAGGCTCAGGTGCCAGGTTGCTCGTTAGTTAGATGGTCGGTGAAATAAAGAAGCCAGTTACTGCGCTTGATGCGGGAAAATGGGTGAAGAGTATTACGATTAAACAGTTGGCTTTCGTTTCGCAGACCGAACAGGATTCCGCATGCTGATCCACTAGAACTCCAACATTGTTTTTTCCTTGTGGCCTAGCACCCCAAGGCATTTCAAACTGGAAAGGAAGTAGTTTCCCTATTCTTATGAGCCCGCAGTTGAGACGACAATACGTTCTCAAATTATCTCACAAAAAGTATACTACGTGTCGTATTGGACAAATTCATTCGTCGCTGCAAAACTATGAAGTTTAGTCTTCAAGGGAACAACTAACTAGGACAAACTTTAGTGCATAGAAGTTTTGAAGACGACATTTTTGGATAGCAAAATGATCCAGTTAACTCCCAAGTCAAAACAATTTAATTTCGACAATAATAAAATCATCCGGCAAGCTCTCAGTCGCAACGGTTTATATGAAGCAGTTCACCAGTGCTGGCCAAAGATCAAGCCATATCAAAATGTATGTCCACCACCATATCAAACTGGAGTAGCACTAAATGTGATTTTCAGTAACTAGTCCCCAGAAGACAAAAACAGAAAGTGTGTCCGCCACCATATCAACAGGTCTTAAAACGCCACTTCACTTCACTTAATTAAGTTAATTATAGTGGGGAAAAGGAAGCCGGAAGGATTATCCAGCAAAAAAAAAATGATCACAAATGAACAGGTATCAACACCTCCATAAACCAGGAATCCAGCACTCCCGCTAAAACATGGAACAAAAATTCATAGGCAACAATCACAATCAACAAAACAGATTATCCGAATAATTACTCTATACAGCGAACATCAAATTCCTGACGTATGCTAAGCCTTCATCCTAACCCAACATTCCAAGAGTAGATTTGTCCTTAACCACATGTTTACTCCAGTAACAACACTAAGGGCATACCTTCTACCAGTCCCCATTGTAAATTTGTTACTCAAAACCATCTCTGTCAATAAATGTTCATTTTTACAAATGCAACCCTCGCTGTTCGTCCCAGAAATGAATAATCTTACAATAGGCACCATTTGCCCCCAAAAAGCTATGTCTATATTGTTAGTATAATGTAAGGACTCTATCGCTTCTACATGCAGCCCCATAAAATATAAGTTTCTGCACAATACATATATTGTTTTAATTCAGCGAATCGCCTTTAAAGCTTCCTAAACTCAACTTTAATTCAATTACAAGCACAATCCAGAATGCAAATCACAACTAAAGAACGCATACAATTAGTCACAAGCAAAACCAAATTAAAAACTAGCAATTGTAATTCCACGAAACAGAAATTCATGCAACATATAAAAATTCACATCAAAACTTAAGAAAATCCATAGCAGTAATACTAATAATCATAATATCCCTTCCCAAAAATCCAACAAACTTGAAACAAAAACCATAAGCATAGCATAACCAAATCAAAAAGATTCGTCCAACAAAATCAAAACATAAGACCTCTTCTCCTGCTGTCTTGTTTGTTCAACGGTAAGATTTCTGGAACCTAGCTCTGGCACCACGTCCACCAAACTTCTTAGGCTCACACCTTCTAGGATCAGCAACAAGCAAAGTCCTATCATACCTCACCAAAATGTCCTTTATCTCCTTCTTGCTCTGCTCATCCACGTACTTCTGGTAAAACGCCACAAGTGCCTTTGCTATGCTCTGCCTGATCGCATAGATCTGAGAAGTGTGTCCTCCACCCTTGACACGGATCCTCATATCCACTCCAGCAAAACGTTGTCGTCCTAAGAGAAGAATTGGTTCATAGGCCTTGAATCGGAGGATTTCAGGCTCAACTAGTTCGATAGGGCAGCCGTTGATCTTGATCAGGCCGCGACCGCGCTTGCAGTAGGTGACTGCCACTGCTGTTTTCTTCCTGCCGAAGCATTGCACGGACTCTTTCGGCGCCGCCATAGTTGGTTGGCTAGGGTTTTCTTCTTGGGGTTTGGTTGCAGTTAAGCGCCTAATGACTCATACAAAGGGGAGGTGGGGGAGTGTGAGTTGAGAAGGGATATAAGGGGAGGTGCTTTTAGGGTTTTTGAGTTGATGACGTGGAGGGTAGGGAGGGGTTTCTGAGGTGATTGGACGGTCCTGATTGGTTTTATAAAAATAGTGTCGGAAGGGGGCCCATTAATTGCCCATGAAATTTTTTTGACAAGTAAAATTGTTTGGGCATGATGAAGCCCAAATATAAATTTTGTAAGTTAAGATGAAACGGCTTACCATAGGAGAGATTATCAAAGATGGTGTAAGGCTTATCCACATTAAAATAAGATTTGTGGGTAATTGTCATTGGGCTTGAACTTAATTGGAAAACTTTTTGTTCTAAACAATGGCCCATAGGAAACGAAGACATGAATGGCAAGGACTTCGATTAATAGAACCTAATACTTTTAAACCATATTGAACTAGGTGTAAAACGAAACAAAAAAACATTTAAGTGTTTACCTTTGGAAAAAAAATTCTAGTTTTCCGGAAAACAGAAAATTAAGAGTCGATTTAATATCATTTTTGTTTTTATTTTTAGTTTTTAAGTTTTATTTATTTATTTTTAAAAAATTTAAAACTTATTTGGTTGTTTTTTTTTTCTTTCTAAAAAGAATTTAGTTTCAATTAGATGCTCGAGTTATTTGGACTTGATCCCATGTGACTCAAATTCAATTCTTGGACTCCTCGGACCCTATCTTAACCTTAATCTTAAGTGATTCAAACTTGGTCACAACCTCTACCTAGCCTTGCACCAACAATCGAACACCCCGGATTCTATCTCGACCCAAACTCGAGCGCCCCCGCACTAGTCATAGACCGCACCTCAAGCGCCCTAGACTCGATCCCAACCTTAACCCATGGCACTTTGAACCTATACCTAAATGATCTCTAAAGCACCTCATACTCAATCTTGGACGGTCCTCTAAGCACCCCAAATCCGATTCTAACTCGAAACTTAAATGCATTGTACTATGAGCGTCATGGACCTCAACACAAGTGTCGACCTAAAGCTCGAATGCCTTGGACCTAGTCTTGGACCAACTCTTGAGTGCTCCGAGCTAGGTACTAGATCGATTTTCAAACGCTATCTATGGGCGTGAATCTTTCTAAAGGCACTTTTAATTGACGTTATTGATTTTGGTATGACCTTGAATCCTCTATTTCTCTTTCCCTTTTAGAGATACAACCGGATGGGAAGTCCTTCGTAGATAATGATGACTTGACAAAAAGCTCAAGGGTTGTGAGCATTCTTTTTGTTTTCTACATGTTTTTAAAAATGCAATGGTGTTCACACTTTTAGAGGGAAATGCGGTTGCTTATTTTTTGTTGATGGTGGATCTAAGATGCTCATTTGCTCTTGGACATCTCGGAATATATTTGTCAATTTTCACATGTTTTATTTTAGTCGGACTATGTATGTAAGTTGGATAATGAGGCCACTAAAGCCTACTTGGGTCGTATGATATAGAGCTTTTGGATTATCAACCATAAGAATATTTGGAGAATGTATGAAGAGTTGTGAAACTAGCTTTTTGCTCGGTTTGTCATAGATGATGCCAATTGATGAGTGCAAGATTTTTGTTTAGTAATAATTGATGATGTGGACTCTAATGGTTGACAATCAATGGTGGAGATTTGCGATCGATGGGTAGGGATCTTATGCAATGTACTAGCAAAACAAGTAATTTAAGTATGTTTAGAGGACCTTACGACGATAAAATTAGTAATTGGAAGGTAATAATGCATGAGTAGGCTTGTTTTTATCTCTAAGTGTTTTAAAAGAGGTAATAAATAGTAATATATGGTAGAGAATGGCTACAATGTTTAGAATATTTATATTTAATATAACACAAAAACCTCTCAACAATAATAAAAATATACGTTTATATCTTTGAAATGCGAAGTTGCCACTCAAATTTGAAAAAATTAAAACTAAGAAAAATACAACATTGGTCTTAAGATTTTTTAGTCAAGGGGTTGATTATACAATTTAGAAAGACTACAATCATCCTAGTGTGTCATTACAATGAGGTTACTTTATATTTTTAGCTTATGAAAATTCATTCATGCAAGTCCATTTTATGTTCATTTGTCTATTCCGGTTTGTGAGTTTCACTATTTAGGACTTTTCTAATCAATTCTAGATGAGATGATTTAAAGATTGAAAGAAGATACTTTTTCACTCGAGTTGTTATTAAACCATTGGAGCTCATTTAGAAAGATAAAAATCAAAGGTTAAAGCTCATTCATAAATTAAACAACTAAATCCCCATATAATAAAGATTACAAGTTTATGATAACATATATATATATATATATATATATATATATGAAATAAAAGAAAAACAAATGATGAAAAATGATGATAATTGTTAGCACCTAAAAATTGAACATTTATTTTTCTTTATGTTTCAAAACAAAAGAGAGAAAAAAATACGAAATGAGAAAATAATTGGAGGATACAACTAATAAAAATTGAACAAAAGATCAAAATAAAACAAGCTTACGAGATAAGGGATCAAATTGAACTTTAGCCAAAAAAACCCTAAAAAAATTAGTATAAAAACCTACTTTCTCACCCGTCACCAACAACTCTCTCTATAGACATCTTTTGACCGATCCCCTCTCTCGTAAATTTAGTCGACTCGCTCCCTTTTTGGATTTTCCTATCGCCCACACCCTAGCCTAACTCCTTTTCAATAACCGTTATCCTTCATACTAGAATGCAACCCTCATTGTTGCCAAGCTCACCATCGATCGCTCCAAAGCCGGTCGAAACTTCGTCGACCGATAATAACTCGATGTCAATCTCTCATATAGTAGAAACCATTCAATCTAGGTTAGTCGTCTAACGTCGTTGTCCCACATACCGAGTAGCCACTAGATTCAAATCAATCATCCGATGTCATCCAATCCAACAACAACATCGCTCGATCCAGCCTACAACCCTCGTCGTATGACAACCATCGCCCTATCCAATAGCATCACACGATAGCTATAGTCCGATCCAATCACCAATAGCTACCGCCAACCATCCAAGTTGCGATCCGATCACCAACAATCACCTCGCTTCACACCGCGATCTAAATCTAATAATTAACGAGTCATTCCTCCTTCTTGGTTGATTGAATAATTGGTCTCCATTGAGGTTGAAAAGGTCGAAAATGCCCCCATTTTGATAGTAAAAAGTTCTTTCGACCTTTTTGCATTTTTTCGATAAGTAATTTATTCTTAATCATTAAATTTAACAATTTATATTTGTATGATTGTAAATTAATTAAACTCATTGTGTGGTTGTGTGATTATTTGATTAAGGTGTTTAAGATACACTCGTAGTGTATATCAAGACAAAATAAGGGATTGATTATTCCGTAATTATCTTTTTTGTTACTCGTGATTAAATTATGTATGCTCGATTATGTCGTTTTTGCATTATTGACCCAAAATTTGTTTGTCACTTAATAATCAATAACCAAGTGTGTCGATCGCTCGATTGTTGTTTTTTATGACAATCATAGTATTTATAATCACGTTGGCCCGAACCCTATTTTTGGATTATTTTTTCTAATTGTGATGGTTAATTTGACACCATCGTCAATTTATCTAAAAATGTGATTCTTGAGTCGCATCAGTCTAAACCTCGTTTTTGGACCCTTTTTTTTCAACTATGATGGTCAATTTGACACTATTGCCGATTGAAAATGTGATGTTTTGAGTTGTGTTGGTTCGAACCTTTATTTGGACCCTTTTTTTCGATTTTGACTAAAACGTTTTCTTTAAAAAAATCATGACTTTCACTTGAGGAGGTGTGTTAATAAATAATATAAATCATATCCTAAAACTTCACCTAACGAGTTTAAGATTTTGGATTGAAATGGTCTTTTGACTCTAAACATAGACCTTCATTTAATAAGAGTTCTTTGAGTTCCCTTAGTTATCCCAAGTACATGTTTTTTTATCACGATTTGGACGAGTAATGAGGATGCCTAGACGTGTCGAATCGTTGGTCCTTTATCCCCGATGACATATCCCGGTGATGGGTCTAATGGTATAAGGCGTCACCATGTTAGGTCCTTTAGTTATCCCCGGGTATATCAATAGTCTATACGACCGAGGTTTCAATCACAAACTCATTTCAACTTCAAATAAAAAAAAGGTTAAAAAGTTCATGTTATGGAAAAGCAAGAAACAATCAAACAAGTTTTGAAACAAACGCACTTGTTTATTGATATCATACATGTCCAAGTAGTACCAAATGGTGGTTAAGATTTTCTAAGAGTTATAATATTTCACTTAAGAAGAAACAAAGCCAAACGTTAGACTAAATTATTACTATTCTTAGTTCCAAAATCCAAAATATGGTAGGCATGATGCTCTCCTTCCACTTGAACCGGCTCCACCTCTCCTTTCACCCACTATCCTTGATTGCACTACTATGTGCAACACCTCTTTCCTTTAAGTCATCCAACCCAACAACAATAACTAGCAAACGAGAACACCCAAATCTCGCTACGCTCAACTCCTCTCGACCCAACGAATTTATCATTGGGTTGTCAATTCCACCAGTGTCTAGAAGATATATAAACTCTAAACCCCGTATTGCAAATATAGTTTTAAATTGCGATCACTATCTCAAATCGTGGCTTATCATGATAGTAAAATAATGATTGCGACAACCGATTTCATGAATACATTAGCAATCGTTAATAAGTTTATTCTAATTCATATATTTTTAACAATTAAGCATACTAATAACATCTCTAATAGTTTAATATCATACAACAATAGTTAAATTTATTATAAAAAATAGTTAATAATACTTCTAATAGATTAATATCATAAAGAAAAAAATTATAATTTTAGTATACACATTACAAATTATTCATTTAAAAAAAAAATTGTTGTGGAGAATCATAATAATAGTTAGCATCTTGTTGTTGATGTTGTGATTCTTGTCCATTAAAATTACAATCATAAATTATTTTGAAAAGCAAATTAGAAAATAACATAAAATTAAAAAAAATAATAAGTTTTTAAAACAATAAGGACATTTATTTTATTTTTTAAAACTAAAAGGACTAATTTCTAATTTATTCAATTAAATCTTGGGTTTGATTTGCAAGCCTTTGAATCCGTGCATGCAAGACAACTCGAAATAGAATAATAAAGATTAAATTATATATTAGTTTCTTTAGTTTTGATAAATGAATTAATTACCCTTAAATATTTTAAAAATTAATTATTTAATTTTTCAATCAATATTGATCAAGTTTAATGTATTATATTTTATTCTATAAAATATATTTTTCATCAATCTCTTTCATGGTATAATTTTTTTTCTTTTTCTATTTTTTAAAACAAAAAAATAAATTAAAAAATATAAAATGAATAAAACAAATACACTATTGGTTTTTGAAATAAGAGGATTAATTAAATTATTGTTTAAAAAAAAGAGGACTAATTTATAATTTTTTCAATCAAAACCTACAAATGCAAGTATTTGATATTAAAACCTTCACGTAATTCTCTTGCTTTTCAAGATAAAAGGTTTTTTTTTTTTTTCAAGTTCCTCTTTTCTCTCGTCTCATTCTCTACCTTTGTTGTCACCCAAAACTTCTCTTCCTCTCTACCTCCCATTCTCTCTGCTCGTTTATTTGAATTTCAGTAGCTGAAATGACTAAAATTTTGTCTTTTTAAAAAATGTTTTTATATAACGATAAATAATGACGTTACATAATAATGATGTTGTTATTTATCGTTATATATGTAAAACAGTATTGAAACATTCATAAAGTCAAATAACGATGACAAAATGCTTCATTATCATTATATAACGGACATAACCATGGTTTATTAAAACTATGATTGCAAACAAATCTCACGCTTTGCACTAGATTCTGACCCTATAGGCTTTGAACCCCATAAGTAAGGGTGGGTTAGGAAAGCACCTAAAAGCGTAACACCACCAGGCAAAACTTCATTGCCTGCTTTCATGGCTATATTGGGAACGATATGGGCTCCTGCGCTATCACCACCGATAAAAACTCGCCCGAAGTCCCCAAGAGTTAATAGACATTGCTCTTTATCTGCGCCATTTGCGACAGACTGTGATTCCACCCATTGAAGGGAAGCCCAGCGATCTTCATAAGCAGAACGTGGGAAAAGGATGTTCAGGGGCTAGCTTGTACTCCACTGAAACAGCAACAACTTTGGTTAGAGAAACCAAGCTTTTCATGAATTTAGTTTCTGCCAAGCTAAAAGCAGACGCAACGCAGAAGCCTCCACCGTGGAAGTAGACCACATAAAATATGACCCTAAGAACATAATATGATAATGTTTTTTATGAAGTACAATTTCAAATAAATGCGATGATAAATAGATGGTAAATGAAAATGATGGAAATATCTTAAAAGTTAGAATAATTTTTTTAAAAGAAGTGAGTTGATAAGTACTTTTAAATAAATAAAATAAAATAATATTTTGCGTGCCAAATAAATAAGGGATTTTCTTAAAGAAAATGAATTCAAAACCTTTTTATACAACTTAATTCTTTAGATTCTATTTGAAAATTATAAGTTTGATTAAAAATTGATTTTATTTAGTAAAAAATTAAGGATTATTTTCAATTAATATTAAAGCTCAGAAGTAAAGTTAAAAGACCATAAAAAACTTTAATAAAGACAAAGTAGATTGAAAGGCAAAAATAAGAACGTTACGGGCAAAGCCACTTCACATAAACAATTCGGAGAGAATCATTGACACCATTAAAATTTGGGGCAAAGCCGTTTCACAGAACGGACGTTGAGATACATTAATTATACGAGGGTGCGAACTTTAATGCTTTACTAGCTCGAAGCGATTAAAGTCCACATGGGGCTTCTGCGGGAGGCATGCCGACGCTCACATCATGTGCAGAGTGGCTCCGACACTGCATTGAAAAACCAGCTCACCTCGGGAGCTGTTCATAACCTGGCGAATTTGTATTAGAAGATGATTCACAAGGAAATTGCTATATGTCAACTCATCGAAGTTTCAAAAATTAATGAATGATTAGTAAGAAAAAGACACGTACATTTGCGTGAAAAATTTGCATTAGCAAACCAAAAGCAAGCCAGTTTCATTTACTCCTGGACTGTCCGGGCGAAATCTACTATAATTCAGCTTCCTGTCTTTCTAAGGCATAATTTAACCTCCTTGAAAATTAGTTAAGAGTACCATTAATAGAAGACGGATGCGACTCCGCAAGTTATTTGCCCTTTCATGGATCATATTCCATAACAAAAAATCATAACAACATCCGGAATGAGTAAACGAAAATACTTAACGATACCATAGTGACGAGACACCATTTTAAAAAATAAAAAAATTTTAAGAATAAATTTAAAAAATGAAAAAGTTAAATGACATAATACCGACCAAAAATTTCAAATTAGGATTTTGTAATTTTGAACATCAAAATTTGAATTTTAAATTTTAACAATAATTTATTTATAATATCTATGTTAGAGATTTTGTTAATCGTGCATCATTGATTATTTAATTTTTTGATCGCCCAACTCAATCAATAAATATTGTTTGTAATTTATTTCTCAATTGAGAATTCAAACCTTACACGATAAAAATATGAAGGATTTATCTTAAATTTATTGCTTTAAATATTATTGGTTATCTATTGGTGTAAATATAGTGTATTGAAAGAGTGTACTAAAAACGATATACTTCTTAGTTCAACCGATATGTTTTAGCATAACTAAGACTATTATGTCTTACCATGAAAATATTATTTATAATTCATAGATCAATTGAGAATTCAAATCTTACACGATAAAAATATGAATGATTCATCTTAAATTTATTGCTTTCAATATTATTGATTATCCATCGAGTGTAAATTCAATATGCTGAAATAGTATATTAAAATCAATAAATTTCATAACTGACTTGTTATGTGTTAGAATATTCTTCAACGGTTATTTCTTAACATTAAATATTATTTATAAATAATTATCTTTCAAAATTCCTCCATCATTAACATAACTGGGATCCAAATCTTACACCATAAACAAGAACTGGTCTAAAATATATTACTTTATATATTGTTTTCCCTCCAAAAATAAAATATCTAACTTTTTTTCCTCTGTTGTATCCCTTCAAAAAATCACTATCTTTATGAAATTATGATGACATTTTTTTTTTTTGCCACCACTGCTATGAAAGTAAATAATGGTTTTACATTACGCCATGTACGGGCGGGAGCTAGATTTCAAAGATGAAGGACAGTTTTTCAAGAAACATAGGGCACAAACATCTAAAAAGAAAGGGGGCAAATTTGAACTACTAAAAACTAATGGTGGCTAAAATGATCTTCTGAAAAATCTGAGGAGCCAATTGCCCCACTTCTTCAAATCTGCCGTCGGCCATGTAATTCACCAGACAAGTCTTTCAACGAAAGATTCGAGACCTGGAATCTTCCCAATTTTTTGTTTGCTAAGAAAATGCTTCAGCAACTCTGTTACTGCGCATAAAAATGTCTCTCACTAATGCCAATCGGAAAATACATAAGCATCACCATCGATGAATGAACACAATGATGTTGGAAGTGGCCCATGTTTCCATCAACATTCTCAATGGAACTAATGTGAAACTTACAAAGTGCGTACATGCAACATAACTCAGGCAACAGGAATGATTAGGAATTTAGGAGCCATACTATTTACCAACCTATCAGAATGTTTGAATGGCTCGACATCAATAAGAACATCTACCAATTTCTGTACAAAAATATCTAGTTAGATGCGAAGAATCAAAACCATCCATCTACAGCCGCGAGTTATGTTGGTTAGGTTTGTTGAGTGCTTTGTCAAAGTAATCACGAATCTCAGGTATTATGCGCTGGATTAATTGAGAGTGCCTGCAAATTTCAGCATACAAAATAACGTCAAGAGCTAGTTAAGAGTTTGAAACCAGTCCTGTCTTCTTTTTCCCCCCGTAAGTGTTCATATTCTAGAAAACTATTGCACATTGCCAATCAAAATAAGAAGAAAGATCTTTCTATGCAAGAAGCATATAACAGTTAATTGGGGTAGACACCCAATGACCTCAATTTTTGTAAATTTTCTTCCCAGCAGTGGAAAACTGTTTTGATCTACGATTACCACATCATGTGGATCCCATAATATAACTCTTTTTCCTGTCTTTTCTAATGGAATCAGAAGCAAATGTTTATATGTTTCTGTTCATCACCAAATGGTGTTTGTGAGAGAGCAAGTACACAGGTTAAGGTGACAAACCTTGGCTTATCACTCAATTTATCGAACTGCTCCAAAATGAATAAAATGCACCTGTGCCTCAATGAAATAGCATGGAAAGCTTCCGAAAGTTCATACATGCTTGCAATGTTTTCCAATGTTATATCCTTAAGCAAACATAGAATGTTTATTAGACACCAGCTTTCAACTTAAATCAGAACAAGATTGAATATACATGTATAAACGAAACCCTCATAGCTCACCTGTGCTATGGTATACTCGCATAGTCGCTTAAGCCCCTCCAAGAGATACTGATCAGCAGCCCTGAGGAGATCCTGTGCGATACCTAATGTAACATCTACTGAACCTGTGTATATGAATCTGTAGAAACAGAAAGTTAAATAATTGTTCACTGCATGAGTATTCGTTATGAAACCGTGAACTTTACATCTCAACGAACCTCATCATCAACTCGAAAACCTCCCATCTAATATTTGGAATTTCAATGTCCCTTGCATCCTTTTCCTGTTAGACACAGAAGAATTAATCAAGATGGACATGAATTTCGTTGTAGCCATCTTGGTTGCCTGATGTGCACACCACAGTAACTCAAGTTGCCTACCCTATCTAGGCTATGCAATAAAACTGAATAAGGGGACTAACACATAGCAAGACTTTGAAAACATTGAAAACAGAAGCTGATGATTTATCTCAGCTGAATGAGTTTGGATAGCAACAGAAGATTGGTTGATGAAATAAAGTTAGAAAACAACCACATCTTGTACCCTCCCACAAGATCTTACCCGGTAACCACCATCAAACATTGCCCGAAATGCATCTGAAGAAGCAAGCAGGCAAATTCTGTGGGCATAGAATCGTCTACCTGCAGAACACAAATTAAGTCAATTATATAACTTGCCAAGACCAGCAAAAAAATTGCCTTGCACTAAAACAAAAATCACAAGCAAGCTAAACAAGTACCACAGCAGTATCCAGAACTTAAAATTTACAACCTTCAACTAGAAAGGTAACGTCAGACAATGTAGCATTGTTTACATACTGCTCCCCTAAATACACCTGTAATAAGAATTAATTGTTATTGCACAAACCAAATTCAAATAAAAGTCAGAAATTTGGAAGTCTAGATGATCTTCATGTTGTGAAACAAAGAGTATGTAATAAAATGGCATCACATGGAAATGCATGAAAAGAAGTTCAACCTGCATTGAACATGCTCGAAAAATTTCAATTGGCATTTAATTAAATTGTTCTTTGCCAATACTAGAATGATAGAAGCATAAATTTCAGAATGCCCAACTATTCATACTAGGAAGCATACCCAACAAACAGTCACTTATATTTGTTTACACAGTAAACAAAATGCATGAACAAAAAACCAAACAGCTCAGAGAGTAAACTCACCTGAGGTGTCGGAGAAGGAGGAGCTGCATCCACAGGAGAAAGAGTCATTGCTTTGTTGACCAACCTGTAAAGAGCTATGGCTCCATCAAGCTGTTGCTTTTGGCTCGAAGAGCCAAGCAGGCCAAGAAGTAAATCCAATCCTGCAGTCAAATAAAAAAATAAGAATTTTCTTCTTTCTAAAATTTCATATCGCAAAATTAATAAGAATAGAACATGCCACAATTATTAATGAATATTGCTCTCTGGTCATCTGGGGAACAAAGATGTGCAAGAGCTAGAGCAACACGCCGTTGGACAGCCTTCTCCGCTACACGTATTAGATATAATAAGTGGTTTAAAACCTACATATGGAAATCACACAATTACAAATTTAAGGCTTGGAAATAAAACTCTGAAGAAACATAAAACTGCCAGAGTGTCCACAAGTAGATGTTGCGAAATTTTAGGGCAAAACAAACAGGGACGACAGAAAAAGAGTAAATAAAAAAACTCACTCTTCCATGAATTTTCTCCTCCAATCTTTTCAAAGTCTTGGCTACACAATCTTTTGTTGCCTGGAAATATGTTATTGATTTTATATTGGACATTGTAGATCAGGTTAAAACACAAGGAGAAGGCAAACATCTAGGTTCCAACATGAAAATATTCAAGCTACCATTTGCGTAAAGCAATATAGCATCAGCAGCACATGAGCCTAGACATAACAGTACCATTCAACTATAAATGAAGAAAGTTGCATACTTGAACAATAAACTCTCCATCCTGCAACTTCTGAACTCCTCCCACACTGATAAAATCAGAGACATTGTCCTATTGGAGAAATCAAACACCACAAGATTGTAATGGATTATAAAGACTTGCAGTTTAATAAAACTCCTATTAAAATGGAACAAACACAGTAGAGTTTTGGTCGAGCTCCAAGGAATTCAGAAATTATTCCAATACCTCATTATCAGCAAGGCCGTACAGAGCAAATGCAGCATTATGTTGAAGAGACCCATTCTTCGAATCCAGAAGCTTCAGTAATGGCAATAGACCACCATTGTGGGCTATACCAGCTTGGTTATGTGTGTCCTGAAATTGAGTAATTTTTTCAACCCAAAAAGAACCATCCAACCAAAATTCTGCTGAATTGCAAATAAGAACCTACTCAAAGACATTATTACTTCTTAAGTTCTCCAGATTTATTAATTGAAAACTGTGTTGCTGAGAATTGTAGAACATTTACATATTTGACAAAAATAATTTGAAGTAGGGCAATTGGTCAGTTTTTAAAGGAATAAAACAAAACTAAAC